GTGGACTTGTGAAGGGCTGTAATGATGATGATGATGAAGGGGACCTCACTCTAACCTAAACGCCGTCCACTACCATCTCGAGACGGCGAGGCCAGCTCTGCTCTTTCTGACCGAGACGCAGGTGTCCTCTCCGGCTGATGTCTCGTATCTCTCCTACCCGGGGTACAAACTGGAACACTCTTTTGTGCCTCGGGCTGCAGTTTGCGTTTACGTCAGAGAGGACATCTGTTCTCGACGCCTCGGCAGACTTGAAGGTTCGGACCTGTCCATCCTTTGGCTACGCGTAGACAGCGACGACCATCCGCGCGTCTATAGGTCCCATAGCGGCAATGCCAAAACAGACCGACTCTTCGACCATGTCCAAATGGCTACAGATTCGTTGCTACAGCAGATCCCCTCCGCAGAGATCGTGATCCTCGGCGACTTTAACGGCCATCACGCCGAATGGCTTGGTTCACGTTTAACCGATCATGCGGGGAGATCTGTTCATGATTTTACCATGGCATATGGTCTGAAACAACTGGTTACTTCGCCTACGCGGATTCCAGATGTGGAGGATCATGCACCTTCCCTGTTGGACCTTCTGCTGACCTCTCACCAGGACGGATATCAGATTTCCGTCGAAGCCCCTTTAGGCTCCTCGGACCATTGTCTTGTCCGGAGTGTGCAGCCACTCACGCTGAAATCGCAGTTGCATTCTGCAGGCTGCCGCCGTGTTTGGCACTATAGGTCAGCCGATTGGGATGGGATGCGGTCTTTCTTTGCATCCTACCCTTGGGGCGGCTTTGCTTCTCGCCGGACGATCACAACGTTGTTACGGATTCTGTCGCTGATGTGATACTTCACGGTATGGAACTTTTTATTCCTTCCTCTGTGGGGCCCACTGGAGGCAAATCTCAGCCATGGTTTGGTCGCTTCTGTAAAATAGCATCATGCTATAAGCAGGAGTGCTACCGAGCCTGAGCTGACGCATCAGCGTCCCGGGATGTAAACACCAGCACTCCAAAAAAAGAAGTATAATTCCGCCTCTAGGTCCTTCAAAAGAGTTATTGCCAAGGCAAAGTCAGAGCACATAGGCAGAATTGGGGAGAAACCAGTTCGCCTTCCTTCTGGAACCCGTGCATTCTGGTCTCTCGCCAAGGCTGTCCAGGGGAATTTCTGTCAGCCATCTCTTCCATCTCTGCACAGGGAGGACGACTCACTGGCCCATACCGCAAAGGAGAAAGCCGATCTTCTAGGCTCTTTCTTTGCGTCCAACTCGACTCTCGATGACGGGGGGAGTACGCCGCCGACCATCCCGCGGTGCGAGTGCTCCATGCCGGAAGTGCAGTTCACACAGCGCTCGGTTCGCAAAGCACTCCTCTCCCTGGACATCCACAAGTCGAGTGGGCCTGACGGAATCCCCCCAATTGTGCTGAGAACGTGTGCTCCAGAGTTGGCACCGGTTTTGACGCGTCTTTTCCGGTACTCCTACTCCCTAGGCGTAGTCCTAAAATCATGCGACCGCTCAGACCCGTCCAACTACCGGCCTATCGCCATCACCTCCTTGCTCTCCAAAACAATGGAGTCCATTGTGAACTGCCAGCTCATGAGGTACCTTGAGGATCACCAGCTGATTAGTGACCGCCAATACGGTTTTCGCCGTGGTCGGTCAGCTGGTGATCTTCTGGTCTACCTAACTCACAGATGGGCGGAGGCAGTGGAGTCCAAAGCCTCCCGCATTGGCCGTTAGTTTGGACATTGCGGAGGCCTTCGATCGGGTTTGGCACAAAGCGCTTCTTTCGAAGCTAGCTTCCTATGGGCTTCCCGAGAAATTGTGCGATTGGATCACCAGCATTCTTGCAGATCGGAGCATCAAGGTCGTTGTAGACGGTGCAAGCTCCGATTGCAAGCCTATTAATGCTGGTGTTCCACAAGGCTGCGTGCTATTGCCAACGCTGTTTCTTCTGCATATCAATGATATGTTGCAAACCCGTAACATTCATTGCTATGCAGATGACAGCACTGGTGATGCTCTGTACACCGGCCGTGCCAATATTTCTCGGGAAAACGTCTCCGAGTCCCGGGACAAACTTGTGTCTGAAGTCGAGTCTTTGCTGAACAGAGTCTCGGATTGGGGGCGACTAAATCTAGTCCAGTTTAACCCCCAGAAGACACAAGTTTGCGCGTTAACCGCTAAAAAGAACCCCTTTGTCGTATCTCCTCAGTTTCAAGGCACTCGCCTTGTCTCATCCAGTATTGGAATCCTCGGCGTCGACATATCGAGTGACGTGCAGTTTCGTCGTCACTTGGAAAAGAAGGCCAAATTGGCCTCTAAAAAGCTTGGCGTGCTCAGCAGAGCGGGACAGTATTTCATGCCGGCATACCCTGCCTGCAACTTTACAATAGAGGCACGCGCAGGTTCGGCCGCACATGGAATACTGTTCCCATCTCTGGGCTGGGGCTCCCCAGTACCAACTCCTTCCACTTGACCGCATCCAGCGCAGAGCGGCTCGAATCCTCGACGACCGATTTCCGATCGGGTCGATTCACTGGCACTGCAGATGATGCATCTCTTTGCTTTTTCTTTCGCATATACCATGGAGAGTGCGCTGAGGAATTGTTCGGATTAATCCCAGCCGCCAAATTTCGTGAACGCACTACGCGGCAAACGTCCCGATACCATCCACACCATCTGGATGCTTGGCGGTCCACTACTGTACGTTTCAAAAGGAGTTTTCTTCCGCGTACAACCTCTCTGTGGTATAGTTTACCACCGGCGATTTTTCCGGACCGATACTACCTGGGGACCTCCAAGAAAAGAGCTTACTCCTTTCTAAAGGCCGGCAACGCTCCTGCAATTCCCCTGGTGTTGCGGTTGATCATAGGCGGGGGTAGTCACTTAACATCAGGTGAGCCGCATGCTTGTTTGCCCCCTCTTCTATAAAAAAAATACACACTATAGCTGGCTTATGATTACTCTAAGATGCACATGCTTATGAAGACACACATACACTATGATTCTGTCCTGTGCATGGATAGCCTCTGCTGAGAATAGACTAGTTGAGTCTAATCTTCAATAGGGCTAGCTACCAGACTGAAATTCTGTTGGAGGGTGTTATCAAAATATATTATGATATTAAAAAGATATTGAATGTCTTTTAAAAACACTCATGCTTAGCAAAAAAATAATAATGATAATAATATAATAATGTATAAGTTTAAGGACCCTTTCTGAGGCTGAAACATACCAATACCTGGCTGTGTCACAGAACATCAGTATCGATGAGGCTGGTATGAAACAGTCAGTTTGCGATGTGTTTTATGCACGCTTGACCAAAATGCTCAACAGCCTTTTGTCTGGTGTGAATAAGACACACGCATATAACGGTTGGGTCATGCCTGTCCTCATGTATACCTTTGGCATACTCAGGTGGACTCAGACTAAACTTAATGCCCTGGATAGTAAAGTCCACACTACTATGACGTCCCATAGGATGCATCATCTGAGATCGTCGGTAATGAGGCTGTACTTGCCGCGAAAGCATGGTGGGCGGCTTTTTGAGCGCGCTCACCATGCATTATCGCGAAGTGTGCAGTCTCTGTAAATACTACCTGGCGAGATTGGATGATCAATTCTATAAGGACGTCATTTTTTGTGATAAAGGACTTACCCCTCTATCCTTAGCCAACGAGCAATGGCAAGACCCGACAGTGTAAAGCATTTCCGACTGGGAGACCGTATGGAAAGAGAAGGAGCTCCATGGGAGGTTCTACAAGGCTCTACATGAGCCTTTCGTAGACACAATAGCCTCCCTCCACCGGCTACGCTTTGGTGACCTCTTCAACCGAGGGTTTTGTCTGTGCAATACAGGATCAGGTTATTAAGACCAACAACTATCGGAGATACATCCTAAAGGATGGCACCGTCGACATCTGTCGAGCTTGTCGCCATCCTGGTAGGTCACTTATGCATGTCATCTCCGGTTGTTCGGCGCTTTATAACTCTGAGTACTTGCACAGGCACAACCTAGTAGCCAGAATTCTCACCAGGAGCTTGCTCTGGAATACGGTCTCGTGGAATGGAAAGTGCTGTATTACAAGTACTTGCCGGAAGCTGTGCTCGAAAATGATCGCGCCAGGCTCTACAGGGACCGGGCCATCATCACAGACAGGACTATTCTTGCAAATAAGCCTGATATTGTGCTGATGGACCGGACACAGTCAACGGTATTTTTGGTCGACATTACCACTCCGTATGATGAGAACCTTGTGAAAGCCGAAACAGATAAACAAAGAAAATATCTGGACCTGGCTCACGAGGTGACCGACATGTTGAGTGGTCTGCCGACTGAAATTATTCCTGTAGTCGTTTCTGCAAACGGGCTAATCCCAGTCAGTCTCTCGGGTCATCTGAGGAGGCTGGGACTCTGTGACGGACCGCTCCAGGCTCAAATGCAGTAGGAGGTGCTCCTCGATACTGCCTGTATTGTCCACCGGTTTCTCTCCCCTTCCCCCTAACCCTCGGCCATTTGGTCTCCCCTGCCAAGGGCCTCCATCTGGTTGGGCTTTTATTTATTTATGTATTATTTATTTATTTGTGCTGGTATATGAAATATATATTTATCATTTCCTTTTATATATTTATTCAGCCCAACCAGATGAGAATACAATACTGATACCACATAATAATGCATAACATTATTATTTTAATATTATTGTTATTTCCATCATCATTGTAGCAAAGGTTTTCTATAATTGACATTCTTAGTAAGAGATTCGTCATTACCAAGACATCTTACACCATTGACTGAGTTTCCTATCACTGATCAGTTTCTTTGACCTGATAATGTCTCTGCTAGTATCATTTGAAGAGTCATTTCCATTTAATTAGAATCAGAGTACTTTTTGGGTCTAGAAATTTTAAAAACTAACATAATTAGGTTTATAGTAATATTTATAAATTTATTAGAATTAAATAAAATTTATATAAGAGAAATAAGAAATAATATGAATGTTACCTGACAACAAATACTGTTCAAATTTATAACCCCAGGCACAAAACGTTTCCTCTTCTTTTGTGCGAGATTTTCTTTTCATGATATCTTGCGGAGTATCTAATGTACACAAGTAAATGGAACCATTATATAAGCAAGCTGAAATGAGCAACGGTTTAACTTCATCAAAAGCATTACACATAATACTAATAAGAGTTCTTCTGTAGCAAATAAAGTCAATATTTTTACTAATCTTTAAACATTCTTTTTGATCTGAAAGATATTGTAACAAAAGGTTAATCATTTCATTGTTGTTATCTGTTGTACGCTTAGAAGCAGCATCTATATTGTGATTTAAGTTGAAATGTATCCTTCCTGTCGGAATTGTTGTCAAATATTTTAACTGAGACAAGTTGGAGTGATACTGCCGGGATTCGTCCACACTCATATAGCCAATAATATACGGTTTACTTAAAGGTATAAATCTACTTTGAAAATTTTCTGTCTTCTTAAATTTATTTTTTAATTTTGGGTATTCATTATTTCTCTTCATTATTTTTAATATAATCCTCTTATTCCAAGTGTCCAAGATTGTATTTGTAAGTTGTATAATATAGGGTATGTTCCGAAATACAACGCAGTGTACTGTCCAATGCAAATGACGTATCATTTGACACTTTATTGTACTAGCGTGCCGCCGCCATATTGTGTCGGATATCCGGCCATAATAAAACAATTTTTAATTGTGTATTTGCCGAATGAAGCATGCCAGAATTTGTTTTCCATTTATTCAAATACAAAAAATTATAAAATAATTGATGGTATATCGATTAGGAGGATATAATGATTTTTGGAGCACAAAATGACAAAATAATTGCCAACACTTTTCCAAATGGCGCAAAAGTATGACGTCATATACTGTCCAATGTTTTGGAACGAATCACCAGTATAGCGTCGATTCATGACGTCATTTGCATTGGACAGTACACTGCGTTGTATTTCGGAACATACCCATAGTATCACAGACTACTAAGAGGATACTACGCATGTATAGTATGTCCTTTCCGTCCTTTCCGTATCCGTATATACTTTCTCTGTCTACGGTATATACCGTAGAAACCTAGTATATACACTATTATCTATGGTATGTACCACAGACTGCAGACCTAGTATATATACAGTAATCTATGCAGCAGACACAGACTAGCTCCGATAGGAGTAATCATGAAGGTTAGAGAACAGGAGAACGATCACTACGTACTAATGCATAGCCCGCCTGCCTTGAAAATTGTAGAATGTATAGCGGCGCTGACGTCGGTGAGTAGTGACTGCGAACTGCGAAGTTAGCTGTTTATGAGTACATGTAGATGAAGTTAGTTGATTAATGTACAAATTTTCATTTCATTTTTTAATGAGAAAATTTTCATGCTCCGTAATTTTTGACAAACAGAAACATTAAAAAATGGAGAAATATTTTATTGTGTGTGGATGTGCAAGTGGTTTAGCATCTGATCGGTAAAATAGACTCAAAATGACTATTGACCGAACCTCAAGCGATCGCAGCGCTTCATTTATGGTGTCCATATTTCTGGACATTATTTTCTACGGTGATCGTTCTCCTGTTTTCTAGCATTCATGGGAGTAATAGTGTTCTGTACAGACTAGACTGCTAAGAGAATATGTATGTATTTATAAAATAAAAAATAGGCATGTCGATCTAAAATCGATTAATTGAAAAATCGAATATCTGCAGTAAAATCGGTTTTTTAGATCGATTTTGAGCACCACATAGATTTAATGAATCGATCCAAAAACCTTTCGAATCGGACTGACTCATCCTTAAACCATTTAACCCAATGGTCGAGTAATGCGCCTAATGATACGAACAAAAAGTCTACCACTTTTGGTGTGGGGGAGGAAACAATACATAGACAGTAGTGCACACCTACTCAATAAAATTTTGTGTAATCATGGTAGACATAAATCTAAATCTCCAACCCTATTACATTTTACACACACGTGAAGATTAAATACATCAACATAGACAAAGTTATGTGTGTAATACGGACAAATTAATTGCGATGATAACATATCGATAATTTATATCGATAGTTTCCCTAATAAAAAAAGAAAAACTCACAATCATTGGCAAAATGCACTCGAACAATTAAAATCATCTTTTTAGTTGCTTTTTTAGGGTTCCGTAGTAACAAAACAAGGAACGCTTATAGTTTTGCCAAGTTCAACACTCAGTTGGTTTGTCCGCGGCTTAGTGTAGAGACTATTGGTATTCTAATAATTATACTACTATAATTTGAATAAAAACTGACGTATAAATGGTTTTTGTTTATTAAATATGATTAACCGTTGACTAAATGTTACCCTGTTTCATATTTATAATAAAATAAAAATACATTTTAGTTGATATTTTTAAGCTTTCTTCTTATTTTAAATTGGCCTACATACGTAATTCACGCAACCATTTACGTTATTTTAAAAGGTGTTACCACTAGAGGGTTAAGTAGTCTCCTTACACTTTTATTGTTTATATGCTGCTAATACGAACTTATCTCGTAAGGAGTGCCGTGGTGCTTGCGTGTTCAATTTATATTTTGTAACATATAAGGTTTTACTTTAAAAAAATAAATATATAACTAGTCTCGTGGGGAGTGTGCTTGTCACATTTCGATTATCACTAAGATTTTTAAGAAATATTATGTACCCGAGTAGCTTATCGGTAAAGTTCTCGATTATTATTTATGATATTATTCTAAATGATTATAATAGTAAGAAAGCTAGATTCTTGTAATGACGAAAACTATTCCGTAAACAGTTTTTATAAACGCACAAGATTTATAAATCCAATACTTGTGCAGAGGGGAATAATCATTCGAGGCGAGTCCATTGGATTGAATGGTCTAAGGATTTGTCTGATTTAAGAACTAGTGATAAGTTCCCATACATATTTACAGACACTGTCGGTTGCTGCCGGCCGAGGCCGGATGCTATATTGACGTATCGTTTTTTTGACGCAGTATTCACGTTAAGATTGTTTTTAATGTATTTGTATAATTTTATTTTTAAATTTATAGTTTTATAAATATTATTCTTTCCTTAAATATTCTTCTTTCGTGTAAATATAAAATAACAGTGAAAAAATATTGATGAAATTATTATCAGCATTTACCTATCTCACCGTTACAGATATATATATATATATATATATATATATATATATATATATATATATATATATATATATATATATATATATATATAATATATATTGTAAATATAATAATTCATCAATATTTTTCACAAGAAAAGATATATATATATATATATATATATATATATATATATATATATATATATCAATAAAATAATTTACTATGTCTAATCTAATCAAACTTATGGTTTATCAAAATCTGGAAATAAAATCATCATACCAAAACTATACTAGTCAATGTAGTTTGCAGTCCGTTTCACGTAAGAAGTCCCTTAGAAATTCTCAACCTGCCAACTTGGGTGGTGGATGGCTAATGGCTAGGTTGGACGATAGGAATAAGTAAATTTTGCCGTCTCTCATTTTTTGCCGCTCTGGGCACATGCCCCTTAGATCAGGCCTTAAGTTTATATTCAGTTCTGAAACTACATAAAGGTATAAACTTTAACCGTTGTATTGTAGCCAAAAGAAGGAAAAACATAGTGGCTACAACGGTCGCTGTTAAAACTGTTTTAGCTGGGAATGGGAAGCTGCAATATGTAAAACAGTCAGCGACTCTATACGACGCCATTAAAATTTATCACCGTAACTACAATAATTGCAAACATGTTCTAACCAAATGGCTATTTCATAAGAGCTATGATGATACTGACGCACTTTTAAACAATTTGAAATAATGTAATTTATTTATAACACACGCACACCATACGCATGCGCTCGAATATTACCTTTGGCGTGAATATTATTAGTTTTTTATTTTAATTTTTTATAGTTAATTATTATGTAAAGATTATGCAAATAGTAATGTAAATGGAAGAATGGAGTCAAGTAACACAAGTTTTTATACCTAAAAGGAGACCTGTTCCCTGGTTGTAATTATGTATGATAATCTACTAAATAAACTATTTTTATTTATTATTAAAGTAGTAACTTTTTCTATTATTGATTTAATAAACCAATAATGAAAAAAATACAACTTTTTGTAATACTTTATTCTAAAATCTATACAAAAAATAAAAACTTGTTGGCAGACAAACCCGAATGGGTTAATTAACTTATCGATAGCTAAAGTTGTGGCGTACATCACTACATTGCAGTACTTTCGGTTGTAGCTATACCAGTTAATTTTACAAAAATCGCACACATTTGCTACGAAATAACATGTTTCGATTCGACTTATTTGGCCTATACTTTGTATAATATTTTGATATAGACTAGTTATCGATGGTTTTAAATTATAATATACTCAGAATCGTGTTGGGATTGGGCTGCATATTTAAATCATTTGACAAAATCCACTACACACCTTAATGTAATGATTATAATTCATCAGAAACTGATTTAGTTAATATGAAATAAATTTTTGTTATAGTTCGGCCGTTCAGAGAATGCGTTCCTGACACCTATCAGTCAGTCACGACTAGTGATGGGCACAACATAACACTGAGTTCGTTACCGTTCCTCCAAAATGAACCGCCGCGTTATTTTTAAGATTATTTTCGTTTTAAATTGGTGGAATCATTTAAAATTTATATTTTAGTAATTTAAGTGGAAACCAAAAAAGGTAATATTAATATAATAAAATTGTTTTGCTTATTCTTTGTTATAAAGTTACAATCTGTATTTCTATGCAATAAAGTACATTGAATCGAATGTGCGTACAGAATATTAATCAGACTCCGATTCGCTTGAGGAGGTGGTGTCTTCATCATCATCGTTGCCTACATGTATAATTATATTATTATCAATAACAGAATCAATCCTGATATCTCGGTCAAAATGTTCGAAAATCAGGTTTTTAGTCTTCTCAACAACCTTTGCCCAGTCATCTCTTGTGACTTCCCCGCAGGCTTCTTTTAATAGGGTCATCATCTTTTTCGTGCTGAATGGCGGGGAAGTATTCTTAGAACGAAGAATTCTTAGAACGCGATGACCGTACTCCAGAGTCAGTTCATCGATTTCGTATCGCACATTTGCCGCTTTATTTTCTTTAACTAATTTAATTAGCTCTGGTTTTAGCATCTGCATATTTGCGTCAATGCCTTTTGCTTGTAACCAAGCCACCATTTCTTCTTTTT